GCCTGGGAGTGCTGCGTCTGAGGGTGCGGAGCCTGGGGGTGCTGAGCCTGGAGGTGCGGAGCCTGGGGGTGCTGAGCCTGGAGGTGCGGAGCCTGGAGGTGCGGAGCCTGGAGGTGCTGAGTCTGGACGTGCTGAGTCTGGGGGTGCTGAGTCTGGGGGTGCTGAGTCTGGGGGTGCTGAGCCTGAGCGTGCTCCACCTGGAGGAGCCCTCTCCTCCCAGCAGCTGCAGGAGAGGTACCTCGAGTACTGCCGCCTCCGGAGAGGTGCTTCTGGAGCTCGTCCCGGTACTTCCCCTCCTACCCAGGAGCTCCCCCCCATTCAGGTGATCCGCGAGTGGTACACGCGGCGCTGCAGTCTTCGTAGTGGTGCTCCTGGTGCTGCGGACCCGAGCGGTGGTGCTGTTGCTGGTGCTGAGGACCCGGACGCTGGAGCTGCTGCTGGTGCTGAGGACCCGGGCGTTGGAGCTGCTGCTGGTGCTGAGGACCCGACCGGTGGCGCTGCTGCTGGTGCTGAGGACCTGACCGGTGGCCCTGCTGCTGGTGCTGAGGACTCGGGCGTTGGAGCTCCTACTGGTGCTGAGGACCCGGGCGTTGGAGCTGCTGCTGGTGCTGAGGACTCGGGCGTTGGGGCTGCCACTGGTGTCCCTGCTGCTTCTGGAGACGCTGCGCGGCCGCGACCGTACTTCGTACCGCTCCTTCAGCAGGTTCTTGGTCAGGCTCCTCCTCCTAGTCCTCCTCCCTCCGTCGAGTGTCCTCTGCCTGTCCAGCCGCAGTCACAGTTACCGCCTGCCTCGCCTCTCCCTGCTCCCTCTCCTTACGCTGGTCCCACAGGAGGTCTTACAGAGCGTCGTGAGCCTGAGTCTCGTCCTGCGTCGCCTGTCCGTACTGCTCGCACTGGTCGTCGTGTCCCACGTGAGCGTCCTCCTCCTGTCCCTGGCACTCACTACATGACTCTGCGTCCCTCCACTGCTCCGCAGCGTGTCCCGCTGCCATCTCCTCCTGCGTCCTCTCTTCCTACTCTTCCTGACCCGGAGTCTGACTCCCGTCGTGCTGCCAGTCCCACTGTTACGCGTCTCCTCGCTACAGTTGTCACTGACCCGACCTTTGAGTCCTCTGCTGCGTCTGCTCTGGTCGCTGAGTTGGTTGACTTTGCTGCTCGCTGTCGCCTAGACTACGCTGCCAGCCTTGTCGCTGAGTCTGAGTCTGCGTCTACCTGTCCTCCGTCCGTCGGGGGTGAGTGTGCCCTCGGCACGGACGTCCTTGAGGACAGACAGGAGGAGTTCCACTGCCTTGCTGCTGCTTTGCCCCGTCTCGTGTCCTTGCTAGTTGCCCCTGAGGGAGACCCGGATGCACCAGACATCCCGACCCCACGCTCTTACGCTGAGGCGATGGCGGGTCCCTGCTCCTCTCAGTGGCAGACAGCCATGGACGCAGAGATGGCTTCCTGGAAGTCCACAGGCACCTACGTAGACGAGGTTCCCCCTCCTGGGGCGAACATCGTCAGTGGCATGTGGATTTTCAGGGTGAAGCGGCCGCCGGGTTCTCCGCCTGTCTTCAAGGCGCGTTACGTGGCTCGAGGCTTCAGTCAGCGAGAGGGAGTAGACTTCTTTCAGACCTTCTCCCCCACCCCAAAGATGACTACTCTTCGGGTGCTGCTGCACATAGCCGCTCAGCGCGACTACGAGCTTCACTCTCTTGACTTCAGCACTGCTTTCTTGCAGGGCAGCCTGCACGAGGAGATCTGGCTGCGCCGCCCCCCTGGCTTCACTGGGTCAGTTCCTCCTGGCACCCAGTGGAGGCTTCAGCGGCCGGTCTACGGTCTCCACCAGGCGCCACGTGAGTGGCACGACACACTGAGGACGACACTTGCGGCTCTTGGGTTCGCTCCCTCTACTGCTGACCCGTCGCTGTTTCTACGCACCGACACCTCGCTGCCGCCGTTCTACATCCTCGTGTACGTCGACGACTTGGTCTTTGCCACTGCTGACACCGCGGCACTCGCCCACGTGAAGTCGGAGCTGCAGAGGAGACACACGTGCACAGACCTGGGTGAACTGACGAGCTATCTTGGCTTGCGGATCACCCGGGACAGAGCACGGCGCACCATCACCCTGACTCAGTCACACATGGTGCAGCAGGTTCTCCAGCGCTTCCGCTTCACGTACTCCTCGCCTCAGTCCACTCCTCTGCCTACCGGTCACTCGCTCTCAGCTCTGCCTTCGGATGAGTCCGTAGAGCCGAGTGGCAAGTATCCAGAGCTTGTGGGCTGCCTCATGTACCTGATGACCTGCACTCGACCTGACCTTGCATACCCTCTTAGCATCCTAGCACGCTATGTCGCTCCTGGCCGTCACCGGAAGGAGCACATGGATGCTGCTAAGAGGGTGTTGCGCTACTTGTGCAGTACGTCGGGCATGGGGCTTGTGCTTGGAGGGCGAGACCGGGTTGTTCTCACAGGGCACTCAGACGCTTCTTGGGCAGACGACCAGGCTACTCAGCGGTCGTCCCAGGGTTACACCTTCAGCCTTGGCTCTGGCTCAGTTTCTTGGCGTTCTACTCGCTCTTCTTCTGTTCTCAGCTCCAGTTGTGAGGCTGAGATCTACGCCACAGCCATGGCTGCTCAGGAGCTACGCTGGCTGACCTACCTGCTGACCGACCTCGGAGAGCGGCCTCGTTCTCCTCCAGTGCTGTACGTCGACAACAAGGCTGCCATTGCCTTGTGTGAGGAGCACAGACTGGAGCACAGAACGAAGCACATCGCTCTGCGGTACTTCCTTGCTCGAGAGCTGCAGCAGCGTGGTCAGCTTTGTCTGCGTTACGTGGCCACAGAGGCCAACACTGCTGATGTGTTCACCAAGGCGCTTCAGCCTTGTGACCATCAGCGCTTTTGCACTCTGCTAGGCCTTGTACCTACTGGGCCTCACTTGCTTACCTCTTGACCTTGCTTGTACTGTGATCACTATATATATATGCCTACTTGTTTACTTTTGCTAGGTTGTGATCACTGTATCTCTTGCTTTGTTATAAACCTGCATGTGAACTGGTCTTGTGACCGCTTGCTTGTGCTCGGAATTTGTGTGGAATCCTTGAGATCCACCCTGAGCTTGCTTTGCTTTGCTTTGACTGGTCTTGTGACCCTGTGGTTGTCTCCCACTGCGCCTATGGGGGTGTGTCAAACATTGTATGTTTATATTGTGTAGGCTGTAGTGGGTTACACCTTAGGGGGTACACAAAGTTAGGGTTTCCTACTTGTACCAAACTCTGTGCTAGTTCATTTCATTCCTGCTCAGTTATTCTGACAGGGTATATAGGTGAGATGGGTGATACGGGTGGGAAGGAGATTGATGGGGAAAGAAAAAGGGGAATGATTTGGAATGGAGCTGATTTTTTGTAGCGGCTGTGAATATTGCCATGTTCTGTAGCCGTGAAAACGGGTCTAAACGGCTAGAGGCTTTGAGATGCAGCTATTTTTTGAGTTCATTTTTGAGGCGCCTAAAAACGAGTGCTTATCTCCGAGCTCTCCGTTTGAGCACCTCATTTCAAGCACGCGAAATGCTCCGTTCGAGCAGCTCTCCTAACGCCCACCTCATCAATACTAAAAAGACTTTATGGTGCAGAGAATGAGAATGACGTAGCGGAGTTGCGAGTCTCTAAGCTCTACTCTACGATCTTACTTTCTGATTCTTTTCTCCAGTACGAGTGACAGAGAAAACGAGAGACAGGAAACGACGGAAAAAGTGGCGCGAGATGGAACGAATAGGAATTAACGGTGGTTGGAGCATAGACAGGATTCAAATGAGGAGGAAAACCTCTGAATGAGGTGCGAGCTAATTGTTTTGCAGTGCGCGTATAGCTCGCGAGGAAGGAAAAGCAGGAGGGAAATAGGACGGAGAGAACAGGAGGAGGTGGAGGGTAGAGGAACTAACTGACTCGGAATGCCTAGGAGAGTTCTCGCAAACTGTCAAATGATTTTTTAGAGAGAAGTTATGAAGGCAGGGAGGTGAAAACCATGAGCTTTTCGTTTAAAGTGTGATGACGAGGTGAGCAATGGGTTTCTGCGTCGCGAGCCCTTGCCTTCTGGGTTAGCATTGCTCCTCTGTCTCTTCTCCTCCCTTCGCTCGGCGCGCCCTCTCAGTTCGCCAGTAGTCTGAAGCGATGCCATGGAGAATGAAGTTTCTTACGTTCCGCTTCGCCAGTGGTAATCATGTACTTCTTAAGAACCCATGTATATGCAAGAACCATGCAATTGCAGTCGTCACTTGAACTCGCGCGCACTCGTCGCGGCTATGGTTCCGGGCTGCCTGATGTTGATGTCTGTGAAACAGCTCTGGCTAATGTGCAGCACAGAAAATGCGATGTCACCATTTGAAGCACGTCACCTCACTTTCGTTCATTTCGCATTCACTTCGATTCGAAGAGGTTCATTCTGTTGCACAATGGTATGAAACGGTGAAGCGTTGATAGAAATGAGGAACGAGGAGTCGCCCACACAACTCGGTCAACAACCCCGCAACTCCCGCTTTTGCTCAGGGCGTCGATACTCTCGCAAAACTCCGCAAAATACTTGATGGCAAGGTAACGTACCTCGCAGTATGAAACAAAATTTATTGTGTCTACAGTGAAAGCATAATATATTCCAACAAGTTAGCAATGAAACCAGCGAGGTTCCTCATAATGTTCTAGCACTACTGAACATACCCTGCTGCACGGCCCTCCCTCTCCTCCACCACCCTCACCGCCTCAATTTCACAGTGTTGAAGCTACTTTCGACATGAAAAAACCCACTGTTACACCACCAATCTTCATCCCTCATCCCCATTAGCCATTCCCTGAGTGCTCCGCTCCCATCTGCCCCCCCTCCCCTCCCCCCCCCTCCTCCCTGATTGCCCTTCAACCCCCTCTGCTCGCCCTTCCCCCCAGGCACCAAGAACCAAGCCACCTCCATCCCATTATAGTCACACTGTCACACGCTCCAACACTCGCCCCTCCAATCATCCTTCCCTATCCCTGCTGTGGTTCATCCACATACCCTGCAGCACGGCCCTCCCGCCCCTCCACCACTCTCACCGCCTCAATCGCCGGAGCCACTTTCGGCATGAAAGCACCCAGCCCTCCCCCATCCCCTCTTCCTCCCTCATCCCCTCCCCCTCTCTCATCCCCGTTTCAAATTCCCTGATTATTCGGCACTCTTCTCCCTGATTGCACTTCCCCAGCCGTCCCCCCAGGCGTCCCAACAGGCGTCCCCCTAGGCGTCCCACCAGGCGCCATGAACCAGGGCACCTCCAGCCCCTTATAGTCACGCCGCAGCGCCAGGAACTCCGACCCTGACCGCGCCTCCACTGCCGCTGACGTGGTATACCCCGATTGGCCAGACGCCCGAGCCAGCGCCAAGGAGATGGTTGAAACGGGTAGAACAGAAAGAGCCATGTCCTGCCGGATGGCCAAAGCTGATTGCTCTGATGTTCCTCCTGCTGCTGCAGATGGGTCTGATGGTGATACTTTGTGAGGGCATGGGACACCAGTGATCCCTTCACAAAGGAAACCGAGGGGCCACATCCGCCTCACCTTCCCCATCTTCCCCTGATTCTGCCTCTCCCTTCCTCACCACTCCACTTCTTCCCCCTCCACCCCAGCACCATCCAGCAGCATCTGATACTCACCCGTCCACTCCTGCCCTTCTTCCAGAGCCATCAGTGCCTCAAACGGCGTCACCACCAGCGCATAGAATGCCCTGCTGCCATCGCTGCTACCACCGCTGCTGCCACCGCTGCCACTGCTACCACTGCTACCCTGACCCATCCCGTCCAGCAGCACCCCCTCCGCACACGCCACCAGCACATCAGGCTTCGATTGCCTTTGTACTTCCAGTCAACACAGCATCCCTTTGTTCTACCAGTCAACACAGGTTCCCATTGTACCTCTACGGATAAGCCTCATCCACATCAACAATGTACTGATGGTGATTTCCTCATCGACTCAAGAGTCATATCTCAGTAACTGCTCCACTGGCCCCTTTGTACTTCCACATATAAGCCTCTTCTTTATCAACACTGTACCCATCAACCAGCTCCCTATTCACACTGTGCATCTTCTCCCTCACGTTCTTTGGCCGCTTATCAGCAAAGCAAGCGCATGGCACCCCGCTTCTGGCCTTCCTCACATGCACCACAGGGGTCTCGGGCAACTGCCTCCTCTGCTTCTCCCAGTAGAACGAGCGACGTGAGATGCAGTACAGGGCGAGAGAGGGACAGAACTCGCGCAGGGAAGCAAGGGTCTGCTCCTCGCATGTGCAGGTGGGGAAGAAGATTGCTCGCAAGTTTGGAGCCAAGATAAACGGAGGCCTTTCTTCTTGCTGCTGTCCCTCCTGCTGCTCCTCGTCCTCCCCATCTGCTGCTGCTGCTGCTGCTGCTGCAAAAGCTGCTGCTGCAAACGTTGCTGCTGCAAAAACTGCTGATGCAAACGTTGCTGCTGCTGTAAAAGCTGCTGCAGCTCCTGCGGCGGCGGCAACTGCTGCTGATATGGCTGCCGCTGCCGCTGCCGCTGCCGCTGATACGGCTGCCGCTGCAGCCGCTGCTGCTGCTGCAAAAGTTGTTGCTGCTGCTGCTGCTGCTCCTGCTCCTGCTGCTGCTGCTGCTGCTGCAGCTGCTGCTGCCGCTGCCGCAGCCTCTGCTGCTGCTGCAAAAGCCGCTGCTGTGAAGCTTGCTGCTGCGAAATCTGCTGCTGCAAATGCTGCCGCTGCCGCTGCCGCTCCTCCTGCCGCTGCTGCTGCAAAAGCCTCCCATCGCGTTCCTGAAACTCCTCCACTGTAACCTCCTTCTCACCATCATCCCTGCGCTTCTCAACCTTCAAATCCACCTCAAACCGCTCCTCTCTCTCCACGACAATCCCAAGGCTGCGCAGGCTGCTCCACTCCGCGTCAACCTCCTGTACAGGCACCCCATGCCTCACTATAAGCACCTCCACTGTTGGCGCTATAGGGGCCAGCCATTCAGCCCAGGATAATGCAGCAGAGCTGCGGCAGTGCACGTTCTCCCTGTCAGGAGATATTTTAGGTGACGATGCAGGAGAGTCCAGGTAGGAAGGATATTCGTCATTGTGGGAGTGGTGGTCTTTGGGAGGGCCGTTGAGATATGCCACTCGTACGGAAGCGACGGGGAGGGAGGAGATGACAAGCCGCTGCTGGCCGTACAGCGAGAGGTGTTGGAGAGCAAGAGGGTTGGTGGTCTTGCAAGAGAGAACAAGCATCTTGGCCATGGCTGAGAAGGCCTTGAGCGAAGAAGAGAATGTGAGGGAGAGCTTGAGGCAATCCCCCGGGAAGTAAAAGCGGACGGTCTGAGCTTTTGATAACTCGAAACAGAATGCGGCACCGCCTCCGGGGCCGGAGGATGGGTCGTCCAAACTCCATCTATGATAGAGAACGAACTCTGTGAGCCGTGGTGTGACCATGGCGAGATCGTTCATATCCACGTAGCTCCAGTCCACGTGCTTGAGAGTCAAACTGCGCAGCTCCTTGTAACCCTCAGCCCAACCTTCCTGCAGATTCCACTTGCCCCGGCCGAGCTTCAGCCGCTGCAGACGTGGGCAGTCGAAGGAACGGTCCCAGTAATTCTCCTCCGCTTCGTCCTCATCATCCTTCTCGACGTCGTCAAACATGTAGGATTTGTCGACAGTGCCGCGAAGCTTGAGACTGAGAGAGGTGAGGGAGGTGAAGGGCCGGCGGAACGGCGAGTCAAGGGTGTCGAGCTGCTTGAAATTCGTGAAGGTGAGGGAGAGCGATCTGAGGCGGCGCCAGCGCAGGAAGTAGGCGATGCTTTTGTTCCACTGCGGGTGCAGCTCGTTGTATACCAGGGCGATGGGGTGGTGGGCCTGCAGAGGGAGACGGATGGGATTGATCATTGGTTTCTCCAAGGACTGAAAAGACAACTTGGTGACAGCGCAGGAGGTAGGAGGCGCTCTTGGTCCGCTGTGGGCGCAGTAAACCAGGAAAAGAGAAGGGGTGGTGGACCTGCAGAGAGAGACGGATGGGATTGGAAGAGAGAAGTGTTAAAGTGTAATGTGTTATATGTTGGTAGGCTGTAGTGGGGTAGCCAATATGGGGTACAACCCCAACTAGGGTTTGCTACTTGTACCCAACTGTTCCATTCAATGCACTCATTCTTGCCTAGTTATTCTGATATGGTATTCAGAGCAGGAGGTCCCTAGGACCTACCGACCGTTTTTTTAAGGGCCCACCACCGCTCGCATGCGGTTACCACGCTACCCCGTGCCCTAGCCTCGTAGCGCCCTCGTGCGCCCTCGTTAGCGCCCTCGCGCGCCCCTCATTAGCGCCCTCGCGCGCCACTAGTTAGCGCCCTCGCGCGCCCTCGTTAGCGCCCTCGCGCGCCCCTCGTTAGCGCCCTCGCGCGCCCCTCATTAGCGCCCTCGCGCGCCCCTCGTTAGCGCCCTCGCGCGCCCCTCGTTAGCGCCCTCGCGCGCCCTCGCTAGCGCCCTCGCGCGCCCCTCGCAGCGTCGCCCGCCCGCCGAGCCGCCCGCTCGCAGCGTCGCCCGCCTACCGCGCTGCCCGTTTCGCAGCCCGCCCGCCGCGCTGCCTGCTCGCAGCGTCGCCCGCCCGCCCGCTGCCCGCTTCGCAGCGTCGCCCGCCCGCCGCGCTGCCCGCTCGCAGCGTCGCCCGCCCGCCTCGCTGCCCGCTTGCAGCGTCGCTCGCCCGCCCGCTGCCCGTTTCGTCGCCCGCCCGCCTCGCTGCCCGCTTGCAGCGTCGCCCGCCCGCCCGCCAGCGTCGCCCGCCAGCGTCGCAGCGTCGCCCGCCAGCGTCGCCCGCCAGCGTCGCCCGCCCGCCCGCTGCCCGCTTGCAGCGTCGCCCGCTCGCCGCGTCGCCCGCTCGCCCCGCTGCCCGCTTCGCAGCCCGCCCGCCGCACTTCCCGCCTGCAGCGCCGCCTGCCCACCGCGCTGCCCGCTTCGTAGCCCGCCCCCCGCACTACCTGCTCGCCGCGTCGCCCGCCCGCCGCGCTTCCCGCCGAGCTACCTACCTGCAGCGCTGTGGCAGCTTCCTTTGCTCAGTCGCACTGTCGCTATGGCTTCCATCCGCGTGCTGTCGTTCGATGCTGAGGGCCGCCCTGTGAAGTTCGCCACTTGGCTGGATGACCTGCAGCTGTTCCTTCTGAGCGATAGCAAGGAGCATGTGTCGCTCTATGATTACGCGTCTGGTGCTGCACCTGCCCCCCCTGCCACAGCTGAGCTTAGTGTTCGTTCCCACTGGCAGACTCGTGACGCAGCTGCTCGCCTAGCCATTCGCAGTCACCTGCCGCTAGCTGAGCTCGAGCATTTTGGCGACTGCAAATCCGCTAAGGCCCTGTACGATGCTGTCGTTGCTCGCTACTCCTCGCCTGCCACAGCCGAGCTTAGCCGCCTCATGCTGCCGTACCTGTTCCCCGATCTGTCCACCTTTGCTACAGTCGCCGATCTTATCACCCACCTTCGCACTAGTGATGCTCGCCTGCGTGCCGCCCTTCCCACCGAGTTCTGCGCTAAGAACCCCCCTCCACTGTACTGGACACTCCACTTCATAGTCACCCGTCTCCCTGACACCCTCAGCTCAGTTCGAGACCACTTCCTTGCTCGCTGTCCCACTGAGCTCACAGTCACCCTCCTAGAGGAGCAGCTGCTCGCGGCCGAAAAGAGCATTGTAGCTGTCGGTGCTGCTCGTGGCGCTCCTCGCACCCCCATCTTTGAGGGGTGTTCTCCCTCTCCCCTCGCTCCCTCCTACGCTACTGCTGCTGCTGTTGACTTCCTTGGTGCTGAGTCTGTTGGCGCTGCTTCTGCTCCTGGTGGGAGGCGCCGCACCGGCAAGGGCAAGGGGGGCAAGGGTGGTGGTGGTGGCGCTGGGGGGGGAGGAGGTGGGGGAGGTGGGGGGGGAGGCGGTGCTGGAGGGAGCGGTGGCGGGAGCGCTGGTGGGAGTGGGGTCGGCGGTGGAGGCGGGGGCGGCGGAGGAAGCAGTGGCAGTAGTGGCGGCGGCGGCGGTGGCGGCGGTGGCGGTGGTGGCGGTGGTGGCGGTGGCGGTCGGAGCGGTGGTAGTGGTGGCGGCGGAGGTCGGAGTGGAGGCACTGGCTCGGGCCAGAGCTCCCAGCAGCAGCAGCGTCCCCAGACGACCCAGCAGCTTCGTGAGTGGCTTGCTCAGCGTGGGACGTCGGGGGCCAGTGCCCGCTGTTCTTATGTCATTCGCACAGGTGACCGCAAGGGACAGACGTGTGGGAGGTTCCACACCCCGTACCGCTGCTTCTCCCGCCTTGACGACGCTTGGCGTGAGGAGATGGGTGCGGATGTTGAGCGCCCCCGCTGGGCTGAGCTCATGAGGGCTGGTGTTGATGTCTTTGCTCTTGACTATGATGCTATTATTGCTGCCATGTATGCATTGACTGTTAGTGCCGAGGGAGACTGTTACTTGTGTGTGCCGCCTGACCCAGGTATAGAGCCCGCTGCCCTGGGTACTAGTGAGTCTGCTCTCTCTGGTATGGTGCCCCCTGTACTTGCTCCCTCCAGTGCTGTCCCTGCTGCTTGTGAGTCTGCTCTCTCAGGTACAGCACCCACAGAGACTGCTCTCTCAGGTACCGCACCGGCTGAGGCCTGTCACACCTTCACCCTTGACTCAGGTGCTTCCCGTTGCTTCTTTCGTGACAGTACTGAGCTCACACCGCTTCCTGCACCGGTCCCAGTCTCCTTGGCTGACCCCTCTGGGGGCCCAGTCCTTGCCCAGTCCACCACTGTCCTCCCTTGTCCGGCGGTTCCGTCTGGCTCGTTGTCGGGTTTCCACCTCCCCTCGTTCTCGATGAACCTGGTGAGCAACGCTGTCATCCAGGATCAGTGGGTTGACACCTTTACCCCTGGAGGACAGCGTGTGGCGATCTGCACGTGCTCCAGGACCGGCCGTCACCTGGCTACGTTTACCCGTCGGCCGGGGTCGAGTCTCTACACACTGACCACTGCGTCTCCTCAGGTCGCTGCTGTCGGTCAGGTGTCTGCGTCAGGTCTGGTAGCCCACGCCTGTGAGTGTCGTTCCCTGTCGCACCAGACTCTTCTCTGGCACCACCGCCTGGGTCACCCCTCTTTGCCACGCCTTCGTGGCATGCACCGTCGCCACCTTGTGTCTGGTCTTCCCAGGTCCCTCCCTCCCCTCCCTGCCTCGCCTGCGCCGCCTTGCCTTCCTTGCGTCAAGGGGCGGCAGCGCGCCGCTCCTCACTCCTCCTCGTTCCCCCCGACAGAGGCTCCTCTGCAGACCCTCCACCTGGACGTGTGGGGCCCAGCCCGCGTTCGTGGTCAGGGCGGTGAGCGGTACTTTTTGCTGGTTGTCGACGACTACTCGCGTTACACCACGGTCTTCCCCTTGCGCACCAAGGGTGAGGTCCCTGCTGTTCTGATCCCTTGGATCCGCACAGTTCGTCTCCAGCTCCGCCGCCGTTTCCGGACGGATCTTCCTGTCCTGCGTCTGCACTCTGACAGAGGTGGTGAGTTTTCCTCCGATCTCTTGAGGACCTTCTGTCAGGCGGAGGGCATCGAGCAGACCTTCACGCTTCCGGACTCCCCACAGCAGAATGGGGTTGCTGAGCGCCGCATTGGCCTGGTCATGGAGGTCGCTCGTACCTCCTTGGTCCACGCGGCGGCTCCCCATTTTCTGTGGCCGTTTGCTGTCCGGTACGCCGCGCATCAGCTCAACCTCTGGCCCCGTGTCTCCTTGCCGGAGACCTCGCCCACACTGCGTTGGACGGGGGAGGTTGGCGATGCGTCGCGCTTCCGGGTGTGGGGTGCTCGTGCCCTTGTCCGCGATACGTCCGCGGACAAGCTCTCCTCCCGCACGCTTCCCTGTGTCTTCCTTGGCTTTGTCCCTGACGCGCCTGGCTGGCAGTTTTACCACCCCACCTCGCGCCGGGTCTTCGCCTCTCAGGATGTCACCTTTGACGAGTCGGTCCCTTTTTACCGTCTCTTCCCCTACCGCACTGCCCCCCTCCCTCCCCCGCCGCTGTTCCTTGCTCCTGGTCCCCCTCCGGTAGACCCCCTCCCCCCTCAGGGTCCTGCTCCTTCAGGTGTCTCTCAGGTAGACCCTCCTCCCGTCGCTGAGCCTGTCGAGGTCACAGGTGACTCAGGTGCTGCTGCAGGTGGTGCTGCTAGGAGTGCTGAGTCTGGGGGTGCTGAGCCTGCGGGTGCTGGGCCTGGGAGTGCTGGGACTGCGGGTGCTGGGGCTGAGGGTACTGTGCCTGAGAGTTCGACGCCTGGGGGTGCTGTGCCTGGGGGTGCTGCGACTGGGAGTGCTGAGCCTGCGTGTGCGGAGTCTGGGGGTGCTGCGCCTGCGGGTACTGAGCCTGGGGGTGCTGCTACTGAGCCTACGGAGCCTCGGGTTGCTGCGTCTGGGGGTGCTCCGGTTCGGGGTGCTGAGCAGTCTCTCACACCGCAGCAGCTTCGTGACTGGTACGTCCGGCGCTTTCGCCGTCCTCGTGGCTCGGCTGGAGTTGGGGGTGCTGGAGCTGCTCGTCCTGGGGGTGCTCGTACTGGGGGTACTGGAGCTGCCGGGACTGGTTGTTCTGGGAGCACTACGACTGGAGCTGCTGGAGCTGGGGACTCTGGCGCTGGCGGTGCTAGCGGAGTTGGAGCTGCCGCCTCTGGGGGTGCTCTTCCTAGCGGTGCTGCGGACCCTCGGGGTGGCCCTGCTGCTGGCGCTGCGGAAACACCTGGTGGAGCTGCTGCTGGAGCTGAGGACCCGAGCGGTGGCGCTGCTGCTGGTGCTGGGGACCCGGACGTTGGAGCTCCTGCTGGTACTGAGGACCCGGCCGCTGGAGTCTCTTCTGCTTCTGGAGACGCTGCGCGGCCGCGACCGTACTTCGTACCGCTCCTTCAGCAGGTTCTTGGGCAGGCTCCTCCTCCTTGTCCTCCTCCCTCCGTAGAGTGTCCTCCGCCTGTCCAGCCGCAGTCACAGTTACCGCCTACCTCGCCTCTCCCTGCTCCCTCTCCTTACACTGGTCCCACAGGAGGTCTTACAGAGCGTCGTGAGCCTGAGTCTCGTCCTGCGTCGCCTGTTCGTCCTGCTCGCACTGGTAGTCGTGTCCGTCGTGAGCGTCCTCCTCCTGTCCCAGGCACTCACTACATGACTCTGCGTCCCTCTACTGCTCCTCGGCGTGTCCCTCTACCGTCTCCTCCTACGTCCTCTTTGCCTGCCGTTCCGGACCCTGAGTCTGACCGGTATCGCGCTGAGCACCCTACTGTCACGCGTCTCCTAGCTACTGTTGTCACTGACCCTACCTTTGAGTCCTCGGCTGCGTCTGCTCTGGTCGCTGAGTTGGTTGACTTTGCTGCTACCTGTCGTCTAGACTACGCTGCTAGCCTTGTTGCTGAGTCTGAGTCTGCGTCTGTCTGTCCTCCGTCCGTCGGGGGTGAGTGTGCTCTTGGCACGGACGTCCTTGAGGACAGGCAGGAGGACTTTGACTCTCTTGCGGCTGCTGTACCTCATCTCGTGGCCTGGTTGCTTGCCCCTGAGGGAGACCCGGATGCACTAGACATCCCCACTCCGCGCACTTACGCAGAGGCGATCTCGGGTCCCTACTCCTCTCAGTGGCAGACAGCCATGGACGCAGAGATGGCATCCTGGAAGTCCACAGGCACCTACGTCGACGAGGTTCCCCCTCCTGGGGCGAACATCGTCGATGGCATGTGGATTTTCAGGGTGAAGCGGCCGCCAGGTTCTCCGCCTGTCTTCAAGGCTCGTTACGTTGCTAGAGGCTTCAGTCAGCGTCAGGGGGTCGACTTCTTCCAGACCTTCTCCCCCACCCCGAAGATGACCACTCTTCGGGTTCTGCTGCACGTTGCTGCTCAGCGTGACTACGAGCTTCACTCTCTTGACTTCAGCACAGCGTTCCTGCAGGGCAGCCTGCACGAGGAGATCTGGCTGCGCCGCCCACCTGGCTTTACTGGGTCGTTTCCCCCTGGTACCCAGTGGAGCCTCCGCCGGCCAGTCTACGGTCTCCGCCAGGCGCCACGTGAGTGGCACGACACACTGAGGACTACACTTGCGGCTCTTGGGTTCGCGCCGTCTACTGCTGACCCGTCGCTGTTTCTGCGCACAGACACGTCGCTGCCGCCGTTCTACATTCTCGTGTACGTCGACGACTTGGTCTTTGCTACTGCTGACACTGAGGCACTCGCTCGTGTGAAGTCGGAGCTGCAGAAGAGACACACCTGCACTGACCTGGGTGAACTGCGTAGCTACCTTGGCTTGCAGATCACCCGGGACAGAGCTCGCCGCACCATCACCCTGACTCAGTCACACATGGTGCAGCAGGTCCTTCAGCGCTTCGGCTTCCAGTTCTCCTCACCACAGGCCACACCTCTGGCTACCAGCCACTCGCTCTCAGCTCCACCTTCAGACGAGTCCGTAGAGCCGAGTGGCCCGTACCCAGAGCTTGTAGGCTGCCTCATGTACCTGATGACTTGCACGCGACCTGACCTCGCGTACCCTCTTAGCATCCTTGCTCGTTACGTTGCGCCTGGGAGACACAGGCGAGAGCACTGGGAGGCTGCTAAGAGGGTGCTGCGTTACTTGTGCAGTACATCAGGCATGGGGCTGGTGCTTGGAGGACGCGACAGAGTTGTCCTCACTGGTCACTCGGACGCTTCTTGGGTGGACGACCTGGCTACGCAGCGGTCGTCACAGGGTTACACCTTCAGCCTTGGCTCTGGTTCTGTCTCGTGGCGGTCCACCCGCTCTTCCTCTGTTCTCGGCTCCAGTTGTGAGGCTGAGATCTACGCCACAGCCATGGCTGCACAGGAGTTACGCTGGCTCACCTACCTGCTGACTGACTTGGGAGAGCGGCCTAGTTCTCCTCCAGTTCTGTACGGTGACAACAAGGCGGCTCTTGCCTTGTGTCAGGAGCACAGACTGGAGCACAGAACGAAGCACATTGCTCTTCGCTACTTTCTTGCTCGAGAGCTTCAGCAGCGCGGTCAGCTTCGGCTTGTGTACGTGGACTCGAAGGCCAACACTGCTGATATCTTCACCAAGGCGCTCCCGCCTAGTGATCATCAGCGGCACTGTACTTCTTTAGGCCTTGTGTCCACGTTTCCTCACTTGCTCACTGCTTGACATTCTTTGTACTGTACTTTATATATATCTTGTTGCTTGCTTGCTAGGTTTTGATCACTGTGTTGCTTGTCTTGTACTATATCTAGCACTGCATGTGAACTGGCCTTGTGGCCTTTGCTTGTGCTCGGAGTGTGGTGACGTTGTGATCCACCCTGGGCTTGCGTTGCTTTGCTGGACTGGTCTTGTGACCCTTTGTTCTCCCCCACTTTGCCTATGGGGGTGTGTTAAAGTGTAATGTGTTATATGTTGGTAGGCTGTAGTGGGGTAGCCAATATGGGGTACAACCCTAACTAGGGTTTGCTACTTGTACCCAACTGTTCCATTCAATGCACTCATTCTTGCCTAGTTATTCTGATAAGAAGGTGAAGACTGGCTGATTGGAAGATAAGGTGGTGGGCCTGCGGCCTGGGACGGGAATGAATGGAATCGGAACGGAGTTTGTCGGATTGGCTGCACGTTCGACCAGTCAGGACATGCGTTAGGTATCCTAACACATGGAACAATTCAGTTCAAAGGGCATGCGTTTCAAAGCCAAGGGCTGATGTTCAGCAGTCAGCGTAAAGCAGAGCAGAGCATCGTGGTCCAATAAGGGCTGATGTCGCCTGATGCTCAACTGCGGGAGTACTGTGCCTGCATGGACAGGACACGTGGTAGAAACGGACAGGACACGTGGTGGTTGTTGCAATGCCAGAGTGCAACTGATTTGTTGGGGCGAAGTGCAGAACACTCACGAAGGTTCTTGAACACACACCAACTGTCAAGCGCAAAGCAAAGCGCAGCAGAGCACAGCAGACTCACGGAGAAGGAGAGCACGAGCGCGAGCAGCCTCTTGCTCGCCATGGCACAGCACAGCAGCGCCCACCCGCTGCCATAGCTCCTCGCGTTCTTCCAGTGCTGCCCGGCTGGCGTGAAATCAGGGTCCGCAAATCTCACGGGCAGGTTCCTGTCCGCTGTGGGTTGCTCTGTAGCGGCGAGATACCATGGAAACTTTCGCCTGCCCCGGAGAAGGGGAGTCTCGGGGTGGGAGGAGCCGGGTGGCAGCAGCAGATAGCTGAAAACTTTGTGCCAGAGGTATGCTGGCAGCATGTCTATGAGATCACTGGGGGTGTTGGCTGGAAGGAGAGATGAGAGATATGGTTGAAATGGGTGAGAACGAGATTGATGGGGGAAAGAAAAAGGGGAATGATTTGGAATGGAGCTGATTTTCGTAGCGCCCGTGAGTTCAAGCAGTGAAAACGGGTCTAAACGACGAAAGGCTTTGAAAGGGAGCTAATTTTGAATTTTTTTTTAGGCGCCTAAAAACGATCGTTTATCTCCGAGGTCTCTGTACGAGCACCTCCGTTCAAGCTCGGAAAGAGCTCCGTTCGAGCAGCTCTCCTAACGCCCACCTCACCAACGCTAAAAAGAGAGAGGAAACGACGGAAAAAGAGAGAGGAAACGACGGAAAAAGTGTTGCGAGATGGAACGAATAGGAATTGACGGGGATTGGAGCATGGACAGGAATCAAATGAGGAGGAAAACCACTGAATGAGGTGCGAGCTAGTTCTTTCGCAGTGCGCTTATAGCTCGCGAGGAGGACAAAGCAGGAGGGAAATAGGACGGAGAGAACAGAAGGAGGTGGAGGGTAGAGGAACTAACTGACACAGAATGCCCAGGAGAGTTCTCGCAAACTGTCAAATGGTTTTTTTTTTCTGTTTCCAAAGCACGGAGGTGAAAACTATGTGCTTCTCGTTTAAAGTGTGAAGATGAGTTGAACAATAGCTTTCTGCGTCGCGAGACCTTGCCTTCTAGGTCAGCATTGTTCTTCTGTCTCTTCTCCTCCCGTCGCTCGGCGCACTCTCTCATTTCGCCAGTAGGCTGCAGCGCTGCCATGGAAAATGAAGTTTCCTAAGCTCCCGCTTCGCCAGTGGTAATCATGTACTTCCTAAAAAAGATGCTATGTATGCAAGAACCATGCATTTGCAGTCGTCACTTGAACTCGAGCGCACTCGTCGCGGCTATGGTTCCTAGATGTCTAGTGTTGATGTCTGTGCGGCACAGGAAATGCGATATGCCCATTTGAAGCACGTCAACTCACTTTCGTTCGTTTCGCATTCACTTCGATTCGAAGAGGGTCATTCTATTGCACAATGGTATGAAACGGTGTACCGTTGATAGAAATGACGAACAATGACGAGTCGCCCACACAACTCAACTGCATTTGGGTTCTTTTTGGCAAAGATGGATGCTTTCTGTTGATCATCTTTCGTTTATTTACCTGCCGTATCTGTATACCCAACGGTCAACAACTCCGCAACGCTTCCTCAGGGCGTCGATTAAAGCGCAAAACTTCGCAAACACTTGATGGCAATGGTAACGTACCTCACAATGCAAGAATTGTTATTGTGTACAGTAAAAACATAATATAGCAATGAAATCAATGAGGTTCTAGCACTACTGGACATACCCTGCTGCACAGCCCTCCCTCTCCTCCACCAACCTCACCACCTCAATCGCACAGCGCTAGAGCAACTTTCAGCATGAAAAAACCCACTGCTTCACCACCAATCTTCATCCCTCATCCCCTTTAGCCATTCCCTGAGTGTCCGCTCCCATCTCCTCCCTCCTCCCTGATTGCCCTTCAACCCCCAATGCTCGCCCTTCCCCAGTCATAGCATACCCCTGCAGTGGCTCATCCACATACCCCGCTGCACGGCCCTCCCTCCCCTCCACCACCCTCACCGCATCAATCGCCGGAGCCACTGTCGGCATGAAAGCATCCACTGCTCCCCCATCCTCCCTTCCGCCCTCATCCCCTCTCCCTCTTGCAACCCCTCCCCCTTCCCCGGGCGTCGCCCCAGGCGTCCCACCAGGCGCCATGAACCAGGGCACCTCCAGCCCCTTATAGTCACCACCGGCGCATAAAACGCCCTGCTACCATCGCTGCTGCCACCGCTGCCACTGCTACCACTGCTGCCCTGCCCCATCCCCTCAGGAACACCCCCTCCGCACAAGCCACCAGCACATCACACTCTGGCTCCCTTTGTCTCTCCAGACAACACAGGATCCCTTTGCACCTCCACGTATAAGCCTCATCCACATCAACACTGTACTTGAGTGATTTTCTAGTTGACTCAAGAGTCACTTCTCAGTATCTGCTCCACTGGCTCCCTTTGTACTTCCACATATAAGCCTCTTCTTTATCAACACTGTACCCATCAACCAGCTCCCTATTCACACTGTGCATCTTTTCCCGCACATTCTTCGGCCGCTTGTCCGCAAAACAAACGCGTGGCACACCGCTTCTCGCCTTCCTCACATGCACCACAGGGGTCTCAGGCAACTCTCTCCCCTGCTTCTCCCAGTAGAAAGAGCAACGTGAGATGCAGTACAGGGCGAGAGAGGGACTGAATTCACGTAGGGAAACAAGGGTCTGCTCCTCGCATGTGTGGGTGGGGAAGAAGATTGCTTGCAAATTTGGAGCCAAGATAAACGGAGGCCTTTCTTCTTGCTGCTGCCTCCTCCTCCTGCTCCTCCTCCTCCTCCTCCTCCTCCTGCTCCTGCTGCTGCTGCTGCAAAAGCTGCTGCTGTAAACGCTGCTGCTGCAAAAGCTGCTGCTGCAAACGTTGCTGCTCCTGTAAAAGCTGCTGCTGCTCCTGCTGCGGCGACAACTGCTGCGGCTGATACGGCTGTCGCTGCCGCCGCCGCTGCCGCCGCCGCTGCTGCTGCTGCCGCTGCCGCTGCTGCTGCTGCAGCTGCATCTGCTGTTGCTGCTGCTGCTGCTGCTGCTGCTGCTGCTGCTGCTGCTGCTGCTGCTGCTGCTGCTGCTGCCCCTGCTCCTGCTGCTCGTGCTGCTGCTGCAGCTGCTGCTGCCGCTGCTGGAGCCGCTGCTGCTGCTGCAAAAGCCGCCGCTGTATATCCTGCTGCTGCGAAATCTGCTGCTGCAAACGCTGCCGCTGCCGCTGCCGCTCCTCCTGCTGCTGCTGCAGCAAACGCCTCCCATCGCGCTCCTGAAACTCCTCCACTGTAACCTCCTTCTCACCATCATCCCGTCGCTTCTCAACCTTCAAATCCACCTCAAACCGCTCCTCTCTCTCCACGACAATCCCAAGGCTGCGCAGGAAGCTCCACTCAGCGTCAACCTCCTGTACAGGCACCCCATGCCTCACTATAAGCACCTCCACTGTTGGCGCTATAGCACCCAGCCATTCAGCCCAGGAGAATGCAGCAGAGCTGCGGCGATGCACGTCAGGAGAAATTTCAGGTGACAATGCAGGAGAGTCCAGGTAGGAAGAATATTCGTCATTGTGGGAGTGGTAATCTTTGGGAGGGCCGTTGAGATATGCCACTCGTACGGAACCGAGGGGGAGCGAGGAGATGACAAGCCGCTGCTGGCCGTACAGCGAGAGGTGGTGGAGAGCAAGAGGGTTGGTGGTCTTGCAAGAGAGCACGCCTCTTTGCCATGGCTGAGAAGGCCTTGAGCGGAGAAGAGAGTGTGAGGGAGAGCGTGAGGCAGCTGTGCGGAAAGTAAAAGCGGACGGTCTGAGCTTTCGATAAGTCGAAAGGGAATGTGCCGCCGCCACCGGGGCCTGAGGACAGCCGGTCCAAATCCCAGCTATGATAGAGAACGAACTCTGTGAGTTGCGGCGTGAGCGTGGCGAGATAATCAAGATCCACGTATCTCCAATCCACGTGTTTGAGAGTCAAACTGCGCAGCGACTCGAACCCCACAGTTCCAAGGTCCCACTTGCCTCGACCCAGCTTAACCCGCTGCAGATTCGGGCACTTTAAGGACCAACCCCAGAAATTCTCCTCCGCTTCGTCCTCATCATCCTTCTCCACATCGTCGAACATGAAGGATTTGTCGACACCGCCGCGCAGCTTGAGACTGAGGGAGGTGAGGGTGGCAAAGGGCTGGGTGCGCGGCGAGCAAAGGTTGTCGATCTGACGGACGTGCGTGAAGGTGAGGGCAAGGGACTTAAGGCGGCTGCGCCAGCGCAGGAAGTAGGCGACGGTCTTGTTCCATTGCGGGTGGAGGTCATTGTATGTCAGGTCGATGGGGTGGTGGGCCTGCAGAGGGAGAGACAGGCGAAGGGATGGAGGCACCTGAAGGTTGTTCAAGGCCCCGGTGTCAGTACTTTGGATCAGAAGCCTGATTAAAGGAATGCGACGCTTTTGATGATCGTTGTATACTCGAGCAATGAGGTGCTGGCCCAGCAGAGAGAGACGGGCGAAGGAATGGAGGCACTGGAAGCATGGTGGAACTTAGAAGGGCGTGCGTTTCAAAGTACAGGAGAGCAAGCGCAGAGAAGAGCAAGTGCAATGAAGAGCAGAGCAGAGCATGACCCACGGAGAAGGAGAGCACGAGGGCGAGGAGCCTCTTGCTGGCCATGGCGCAGCACAGCAGCGCCCACCCACTGCCATAGCTCCTCGCGTTCTTCCAATGCTGCCCGGCTGCTGAACAATCAGGGTCAACAAATCTCACGGGCAGGTTTCTGTTCGCTGTGGGTTGCTCTGAGGCGGCGAGATACCAGGGCGTCTTGCGTCTGTTGCGGACGAGAGGAGTCTCGGGGTGGGAGGAGCCTGGCGGCAGCAGCAGGTAGCGGAAGATTTTGTGCCAGAGATACACCGGCAGCATGTCTATGGGATCACTGGGGGTGGCGGCTGGAAGGATAGATGGGTGAGATGGGTGATATGGGTGGGAAGGGGATTGATGGGGGAAAGAAAATGGGGAATGATTTGGAATGGAGCTGGTTTTTGTAGCGGCTGTGGATTCAAGAAGTGAAAACGAGTCTAAACAGCTAGAGCACTCGCAAAATGGAGCCATTTTTTAGTTGTTTTTGAGGCTCCTAAAGACAAGCGTTCTTCTCAGATTTTCCGTTCGAGCACCTCCATTCAAGCTCGGAAAGTGCTCCGTTCGAGCAGCTCTCCTAACGCCCACCTCACCAACGCTAAAAAGACTCCATGCAAAGAATGAGAATGACGTGCCGAGTTGCCAGTACGAGTACGAGTGACATAGAAAAGGGAGAGAAAACGACAGAAAAAAATGGTGCGCGATGGAACGAATAGGAATTAACGGTGATTGGAGCATGGACTGAATCAAAATGAGGAGGAAAATCACTGAATGAGGTGCGAGCTAATTGTTTCGCAGTGCGCGTATAGCTCGTAAGAAGAAAACGCAGGAGGGAAATACGACGGAGAGAGCAGGAGGAGATGGAGGGTAGAGGAACTAACCGACACGGAATGCCCAGGAGACTTAAGGCAAACTGTCAAATGGTTCATTTTAAATGCTTATCAAAGCAGGGATGTGAAAACCATGTGCTTTTCGTGGGTGATCAGTGGGTTTCTGCGTCGCGAGCCCTTGCCTTCTGGGTCAGCATTGCTCTTCTGTCTCTTCTCCTCCATTCGCTCGTCGCGATCTCTCACTTCGCCAGTAGGCTGCAGCGATGCCATGGAAAGTAAAGTTTCTTTCAGCTCCCGCTTCGCCAGTGGTACGGTAACCATGTACTTCTTCAATTAAGGCTATGTATTCAATACGAGAACCATGCATTTGCAATCGTCACTTGAACTCGACCGCACTTGTCGCGGCCATGGTTCCTACTAACCGCCTATTGTTGATGATGTCTTGTGAACCAGCTCTGGCCTAAATGTGCAGCACTGGAAATGCGGTAGGCCCATTTGAAGCGGGTCGCCTCACCTCACTTTCATTCGTTTCGCATTCACTTCGATTTGAAGAGGGTTCATCCTGTTGCACAATGGTATGAAACGGTGAACCGTTGCTGAAAATGACGAATGACGAGTCGCCCACGCAACTCAACGGTCAACAACTCCGCAACGCCCGCTTTTGGCCAGGACCTCGATAAACTCGCAAAACATCGCGGAATAATTGTGGCAATGGTTACGTACACCAAAATACGAAAATTGTTATTCTGTCAACAATAGAAGCTAATATACGGTATTCTACTAAAGTTGGCCATGAAACCAATGAGATTCCTCATCATATTCTCGGACTACTGGACATAACCTGCTGCACGGCGTCCCTCTCCTCCACCACCCTCTCCGCCTCAATTGCACAGCGTAAGTGCCACTGCTTCACCACCCATCTTCATCCCTCATCCCCATTAGCCATTCCCTGAGGGCTCCACTCCCATCCCTCTCTCCCCCTCCCCCCCACACCCCCCCCCCCTTCCCTCCCACACGCATCAACACCCGCCCTCCTACCATCCTTCCCTAACCCTGCAGCGGCTCATCCACATACCCTGCTGCACGACCCTCCCTTCCCTCCACCACCCTCACTGCATCAATCGCAGGAGCCACTTTCGGCATGAAAGCACCCACTGCCCCCCGGTCCTCTCTTCCGCCCTCATCTCCTTCCTTACTCTCATCCCCTCTCCCTCTTGCATCCCCTCCCCCTTCCCCAGGTGCCCCACCAGGAGCCATAAACCAGGGCACCTCCAGCCCCTTATAGTCACGCCGCAGAGCCAGGAACTCCGATCCCGATTGCGCCTCCACCGCTGCTGACGTGGCGTACCCTGATTGGCCGGACGCCTGAGCTAGGGCCAAGGAGTCGGACGATACAGGCAGAGCAGAAAGAGCCATGTCCTGCCGGACGGCCAAAGATTGATCCGATGCTGCTGCTGCCGCAGCCGCCGCTGCTGCTGGTGCTGCTGATGGTGCTGACAATAATACTTTGTGAGGGGCGGGGGAAACCAGTGATCCTTTCACAAACGAGAACCGAGGAGCCACATCCCCCCCACCTTCCCCACCTTCCTCTCCCTTCCTCACCGCTCCCAACCCAGCACCATCCAGCAGCATCCGATACTCCCCCGTCCACTCCCGCCCTTCCTCCAGCGCCATCAGCGCCTCAAACGGCGTCACCACCGGCGCGTAAAACGCCTTACTGCTGCTCTCCTGCATCATACCATCCAGCAGCACCCCCTCCGCACACGCCACTAGCACCAGCACATCACACTCGGGGAAATTCGCGAGCTTCTCGGGCGTGATCCGGCGCCTGATTGCAATCACGTACGCCTTCTTCCCTGCAGCCACTGCTGCGGATCGGAGCCTAGCAAGGGTAGCGCGGGTGGCAGCGGCAGCAGCGCCGGCGGATTGCGAGATGACGACGATGCCAATAATAGACGCGTCTTTAGTTTTCTCGACAAGGAAGTAGCGGCGGCGAAGGAGACAGGAGTGGTCCACAGGGTGGAAGAGAGGGGCTGTGGTGGTGGGAGTAAGGGTTGGGGAGGTTGAAGGGCTCTTGCTGGTCGTGCTGGTGCTGCTGCTGTCGGTAGTGGTAGCAGCAGCAGCAGCTTTAGCAGCAGTAGCGGCGGCAGCAGGAGGTAGGTGGGTGGGGTCGAGTCTGAGGATGGGGGTCTGGTTGTGCTCTAGAGCGAAAGTGATGAGAGACGGGCATTCGCTGCTGCCCACCCACACCACCGCTGTGAGCCCGACTGCTGGCGGTGTTGTTGCTGGTGCTGCTTCCTCTTTATTGTGTGGATTGCTGCTTTTGGCAGTTTCTGCTGCCATGCTCGACCCGGGAGGCAGCACCCACCGCAGGCCGCCGTGTTCGAAAAGAGTGCCAGGGACGGCACACTGGGCGGCATCACACTGGGCGGCAGAAAAATGGATACTACTGGCAGCGACCGAAGCTGCAGTGCCACCATCATCAGCAGCAGCATTGGAAGAATTATCTTCACCACACGTGCCCCTCTCCATCGCTCCCCCACAGCACGCGCTTCTGTCAGTCCCCCCTCTGGCACCGCCGTTACAGCACCCGCCACTCACGGCGCCACAAGTGTCAGCACCGCCACTCTTCCCCCCTTCCTCGGGTTCCACCTCCCTCTCGCGCACCTGCGCCACCACGTACCGCACTTCTTCCCCCTCCCCCGCCCCCTCCCTCAGTGCCTCCGCCGCTTCCGCTCCGCCGCTTCCCCCAAGAGCGCGCGCAAAGTCGTCCGCAGCGTGCGCGAACTCGAGCGCGAACAGCACCAGCACCATGCGAGAGGCCGCGAGCGTGCGGGAATCTCCGCCAGAATCGGCGCCAGAATTGGCGGTCATGTTGCTATTGGTGGTGGTGGAGCTGCTGCTCTTGAAGTGTGCTTTTATTGCCGCAGCACACGCTGCCACGTCGATGGGCTGACGTGGCAGCACGTACCGCACGGGGAACCGCGCGGGGCGCCGCGACATGCACGCGTGGCCGTAGTGTATGATACAGTCAGCGCTGACGTGGCACGGTGACACCTCGTCCACGCAGCAGCTGCTGCACGTGGCGGTTGCCGCGTCAGCCAAAACATAGAAATGCGGCAGGTCGCGGCGCGAACGATCCGCCGCATGTCCCGCCGAATCACCTGCCTTTTCTGAATGCTCTCCTCCTTGACCCTCCTCCGTAAAACCCGGAAACCCAGACCCATGGTGTTTACTCCCCGTGTGATTGCCCCCAGGCGGATCGCTCGCTCTCAGGGAACCTTGATCTTGACGTGCCTCGATATTAGTCGCAGCGGTGGTGTTAGGGGGAGACTCTGGTCGCGTTTCGCTCTTACTATCCCCGTTATTGACGCCATGATGCTGGCTGGCAATGAGCGCGGCGCATTCGGCTCTTAACGCGTCATGGACGGAGACGGCGTGCGGGAGGAGAGAGTCGGGGAACTGAAGGCACACGCGCGAGAAGCCACGTGTCACGATGTAACTCGCTGTCTGCTGAATCTCGAACACCTCCCTCACATCCATCGCGGACAGCCGTTAATAGCGTAATGTGCCCAATTGCATCATAGCTGTCTAAAAAACACAAGAGGAAATTCATTTATCTTCCCAAACATGGGGGTGTAGCTCACATGGTAGAGCGATCGCTTCGCATGCGATAGGTAAGGGGATCGATACCCCTCACCTCCACATCTAGTCGCCTTTTCCGTTAGCGACCAAAAAGCAGCACGCGGACGTGATTTTGGTGGGTCGATCTGAGCGCGCCTTTCGGGAGCGCGCCTTTCGGGAGCGCGCCTTTCGGGAGCGCGCCTTTCGGGAGCGCGCCTTTCGGGAGCGCGCCTTTCGGGAGCGCGCCTTTCGGGAGCGCGCCTTTCGGGAGCGCGCCTTTCGGGAGCGCGCCTTTCGGGAGCGCGCCTTTCGGGAGCGCGCCTTTCGGGAGCGCGCCTTTCGGGAGCGCGCCTTTCGGGAGCGCGCCTTTCGGGAGCGCGCCTTTCGGGAGCGCGCCTTTCGGGAGCGCGCCTTTCGGGAGCGCGCCTTTCGGGAGCGCGCCTTTCGGGAGCGCGCCTTTCGGGAGCGCGCCTTTCGGGAGCGCGCCTTTCGGGAGCGCGCCTTTCGGGAGCGCGCCTTTCGGGAGCGCGCCTTTCGGGAGCGCGCCTTTCGGGAGCGCGCCTTTCGGGAGCGCGCCTTTCGGGAGCGCGCCTTTCGGGAGCGCGCCTTTCGGGAGCGCGCCTTTCGGGAGCGCGCCTTTCGGGAGCGCGCCTTTTTCGCGGCGCCTTGGTGTCTTCTAATCACGACTTGGACCATCTTTAGATCATTCTCGACTCGCCATCTCTACTCCCCCCTCTCCCAGCCTCATTACTGCTTTCACACTCCATCCTCCCACGCGCATCCCTCCCAGCGTCATCGCTTCTTTACTCGATTCCTCCCACGCTTCTCTTGTCGCCAATGCTCCGCCTAACTGCATCCAGGGCGGTTGTTAGATTTTCAGCCAAGTCGCGCGCTTTCGTCCCCCCCATTACAGTCACGCCCCGCGCTTTCGTCACCTCTGCTGCGGTCACATCGCGCGCATTAGTCACCCCCCCTACAATCACATCGCTGTCCTCGTGCCTCCGGTTCTGCAACCCGCTGGTTCCGTGACTCGGGAGATTGGCGGAGCGCCGCCAGCGGGAGTCCGCCAACGCGCCGCCGCGACAGCCGCTGGTACTACGAGTCGCCTGCTGCTGCTCACGTAACCCCAAAAGTTGGCCCGATTTTTTAGAATCGTCAAGTGACACAAGCATGATGCTGTAGATTGTTTCTGAGAATTCAAAAAATGATCGTGAAGTGACACAAGCATCCCCCTCCCCTCCGTTTCCCCCGCCTCCTCCTCCTCCTCCTCCTCCTCTTCCTCCTCCTCCTCTCCCTTCCTCCGCCTCCTCCTCGGCCTCCCCTTCCCTCTCCCCTTTCTCCTTTTCCTCCCCCATGGCAGCGCGTGTTGTGCTCATGGCGCAAGAAGGTCAAGCGGAACATTGGGGGGGGGGGGGGGGGGGGGGGGGGGGTGGGTCAACCCTTTCCGACACCTTCCCTTTCCCCTTCCCCCTTCCCCTTCCCCTTCCACCTTCCCCATTCCCCCTCCGTTTCCCCCCCATGGCAGCGCGTGTACTGTTCATGGAAGAAGAAGGGCACGCGGAACATCTGGGGGCGCGCCACACACCACCACCCCCGTTTCCCCTTTATCCCACCCCCTTATCCCTCATCCCTTCCCCATTCCCCCTCCCTTTCCCCCCCGTGGCAGCGGGTATTCTGCTCATGGAAGAAAAAAGACACGCGGAACATTGGAGGGCGGGCCAATGCTCTCATTGCTGCTGTGAGTGAGTGTGTGTGCACGCACACATCTGCCCTCCCTCACTCCCTCGCTCGTCCTTTCACTCGTTTATTTCTTCCTCCCACTTTCTCCCTCACTCGCTCTCTCACACGTTCGTTCTAGCACTCGATCAGGCACGTAGTTACTCCCTCACTCACGCCCGCCACTCACACACTCACTCAGTCATCCGCACTCACTCGTCTTGCCACATCCATCTTTCTTTCATACTCGTTATCATCACACTCCACTCCTTTCCATACGCGTTATTGTCAAATCCGTGACGTGCCAGACACCAAGGAGGATGTGTACAGAGCTCTCGACGCATGGGCGGCCTTCCAGCTGGACTTCCCTCTGCTGGCCGTGAAACGCGCTTTGAGGATCATGCAGCAGGAGGGCCAGTGGAAGCGAATACTGCAGGTGAGATACAAGCACAGAAACAGGCCTCATTGTTGCAGACAGGGAGAGAAGATGGGCCCTAGATGGGGGCTCTCGACGCATGGGCGGCCTTCCAGCTTGAATTTCCCCTGCTGGCTGTGAAACGCGCGCTGAGGATCATGCAGCAGGAGGGCCAGTGGAAGCGAATGTTGCTTCCAGAGTGCTGCTGCTGCAGGCAAGGAGGAACAATGTTGCAGGAAGGCCGGTAATGGATGCTTGCTTGCTTGCTTGGGGGCGGGCAGGGCTGCACATTTGGCACGTATGACTTGACAATGGAGGCCCTGGCTGCCCCTTGCCGCCACACATGCAGATCCTTCTTCCCTCTCCCACGTCTCTCCCCATAACCCCGAACCTTAAACACAGGTGTGCAAGGGGATGCTGGCTCGCGGCCAGGGGCGGACCTTTGGAACCTTTGGTCTCATGATGGAGGTCATGGCTGCCGCGGGGCGCCACACTCACCTGGATCCTTTTTTTCCTCCCCTGCACCTTCCCCGTATCCCTGAACCTTAAACCCTGTACTCAGGTGTGCAAGTGGTGGCAAGGGGGCAGGACCGCACGTTTGGCACCTTTGGTCTCATGATGGAGGCCATGGCTGCCACGGGGCGCCACACTGAGCTGGATTCCCTCTTCTCCATAAACCCCAAACCCTACACCCAGGTGTGCAAGTGGATGCTGGCAAGGGGGCAGGGCCGGACATTCGGCACGTATGACTTGATGATGGAAGCCATGGCTGCCACGGGGCGCCACGCTGAGCTGGACGGCACATGGGAGCGAATCATGGGCCGCCACCTGGACACAGTGCCGCGTGCCACGTTTGCACGAGTGATGAGTCTGTATACTCAACAGGGACGGCCGCTCAAAGTGCTGGAGGTACGGTTTTTTTGCGGTTCTGTGCAGTCGTGTGCATGTAGGTATGTGCGCCACGTTTGCACATGTGATGAGCCTGTACACGCTGCAGGGACGGCCCCTCAAGGTGCTCAAGGTGCGTCTGTGTGTTTCAGTGCGATTCATAGTGGTTTTGTCAGGTTCTGGGCGTTCTGTGCTGCTATGTACTGTCCTGTGCGGTCCTGTGTACATGTGCATGCGGGTAGGTATGGCAGGATGGTATTGCCAGGAGTGAATCCTGAGCATGTTCTGGTGATGTAACCAGGTCTACAAGACGTTTAGGGAAACTCATGCTCCCATCTCCCTCTCTCATCGCTGCATCAAGGCATGGTGATGCAGGTGCATGGGACGCTCTCTGCCATTGCTGCTCTCATGCTCCTCCTCTGCTGTTGCATTTGTGCATGTGCGTGTATGTTGGCAGGTGTATGGCAGCATGATAGAGCTGGGAGTGAATCTGGATGAAGGCATGGTGATGCAGGTGCACAGGGCGCTGATTAACATTGGAGCGACGCAGAGGGCAGAGGCACTTCTGCAGGAGCACCAGAGCGTTTTGGCTCTACCAGTTGGGAAGGCTGTTAAGGCTGAGAAAGCGTCCAGTAGTGCTAGAACATGATGAGGCACTGCATTGGTTTCATTGCTAACATGTAGGAAAACATTTTGCTTTAACTGTAGACTCAGTAAAAAAATTCGCACTGTTGATACATTATCATTCCCATCGAGTATTCCGCGAAGATTTGCGAGTGTACGGAGGCGTTGCGTAATGAGGATTTTGTAGGCAGGGTTGTTGACCGTTGAGTTGTGTGCGCGACTCGTTCGGCATTTTTTTTATGGGGTTCACCGTTTCAGACCATTGCGCATCAGAATGAACCTCTTCAAAGTGAATGTGAAACGAATGACAGTGAGGTGGGGTGACTCCTTCAAATGGGTATGTCGCATTTTAGTGCTGGATAAGCCGTTTGAATAGCCGGCATCCTGAATACTAGGTAGGCACCATGGTCGCGACAAGTGCGCTCGGCTTCAAGTGACGACTGCAATACATAGCATCTTCTTAAGAATTACATGATTACCACTCGCGAAGCGGGAGCTTAAGAAACTTCAATTCCCATGGCATCGCTGCAGCCTACTGGCGAACTGAGAGAGCGCGACGAGCGACGCGAGGAGAAGAGACAGAAGAACAATGCTGACCCAGAAGGCAAGGGCTGCTCTTGCGTCCCATTTTTAGCCTCATCTTATCAATCCGATCAATCCGAACAAAAAGCACATAGCCTTCACCTCCCTGCCTAGATAAGATACCTGGAAAAAAAAAAAAAAAAAAAAAAAAAAAAAAAAAAAAAAAAAAAAAAAAAAAAAAAAAAAAAAAAAAAAAAAAAAACGAACAAACACTTGAAAGTCTGAGTATATTCTCCGTGGCATTTCTTGTCAGTTTGCTCCTCTCCCCTCCACCTCCTTATATTCTCTCCGTCTTCGGTTAATGTCCCTCCTGTTTCTGCTACCGCGAGCTGTACGCGCACTGCGAAACAACTAGCTAGCACCTCACTCCTTAATTTCCCTCATGTGATTCCTGTCTGTGCTGCCAAACCTCGTTATAACTATTATTCGTTTCACCCTGCGCCACTTTTTTCGTCGTTTCATCTCTCTCCTCTTCTTTGTCACTCATACTGAGAAAGAGTTTCAGAGAATAAGATCGTGGGGTAAGATAAGCTCGCATTTACTGTCTGTCACTCACACTGGGAAAAGTACATGGAAACATGATCGTGGGGTAGATAAACTAGAACCTCAGCTACGTCATCTCTTCACCATGGAGTTGTTCTATAGTGTTGTTGAGGTGGGAGAGCTATGAGAGCTGGTCGAACGGAGCATTTCGCTCAAGCATCTCCGTTTGAATTTGAGATGCTCAAACGGATAACTTAGAGAAAAAATGTTAAACATTCAGGCGCTTATAAAATAAAGTCCATTCCAAAGCTTTCGCGAGTGCTCTCACCCTCCAGTCCAGTCCAAATCACAGCCGCGAAGAAAACAACTTGTTTATACTCAGAAGAAGTTTAAAACAGCTCCATTCCCAATCCTTCTCCTTTTCTTTCCCCCATCGACCCCCTTCCCACCCAATTCACCCACCCTGCACATCTCTCCTTCCAGACGCCACCCCCAGTGATCCCATAGACATGCTCCCGGCATACCTCTGGCACAAAGTATTTCGCTACCTGCTGCTGCCACCCGGCTCCTCCCACCCCGAGACTCCCCTTGTCCGGGGCAGGCGAAAGTTTCCATGGTATCTCGCCGCCACAGAGCAGACCACAGCGGACAGAAACCTGCCCGTGAGATTTGTGGACCCTGATTTCTCAGCAGCCGGGCAGCACTGGAAGAACGCGAGGAGCTATGGCAGTGGGTGGGCACTGCTGTGCTGCGCTATGGCCAGCAAGAGGCTGCTCGCTCTCGTTCTCTCCTTCTCCGTGAGTCATGTTCTGCTTTACTCTGCTTTGCTCTGCACTTGCTCTCCTTGGCTTCAAACGCACGCCCTTTTAAGTTCCAAAATGCTTCGGATATGAGATTCTTAGAACAAGTTTCGATTGGTTGTAAAGCGGATTTTGAAAACAGCTTATCCAGCAAGTCCAGTCCAAGTCCATTCCTTCCCGTCCCTCACTCCCACTCCAGACGTACCACCCCATCTTCCAAACAACCAGCCTTCACCTTCTCTCCTCCTATCCTCTCCTTCCCTCTCTGCAGGTCTTGACTGGTTGTAAAGCAGGATTGAAAGCAGCCAATCTTGACATCTCCATTCCCATCTCTTTCACCTTCTCTCGTCCAATCCCATACGTCTCTCTCCACAGGCCCACCATCCCATCGCCCTGGTTTACAGCGAGTTGCACCCGCAGTGGGGCAACTGCGTCGCTTTCTTCAATCATGCTTCTGATTCAAAACACTGACACCGGGGCCTTGATCATCCTTCTGGTGCCTCCATTCCTTCGCCCGTCTCCCTCCGCAGGCCCACCACCCCATCGCACTGGTATACAACGACCTGCACCCGCAGTGGAACAAGAGCGTCGCCTACTTCCTGGGCTGGCGCCCCCGCCTCAAGTCCCTCGCCCTCACCTTCACACACGTCAAACAGATCGACAACCTCTGCTCGCCGCGCACCAAGTCATTCCCCGCCCTCACCTCTCTCAGTCTCAAGCTGCGCGGCTGTGCCGACAAAGCCTACCTGTTTGACGAAGTCGAGAAGGAAGATGATGAGGACGAAGCGGAGGAGAATTTCTGGAGCTGGTCCTTACAGTGCCCGAATCTGCGGCGGCTGAAGCTGGGTCGGGGCAAGTGGGACCTGCGAACTGTGGGGTTCAAGTCGCTGCGCAGTTTGACTCTTAAGCACATGGACTGGAGGTATGTTAATCTCCAGAATCTTGGCACGGTCACACCGCGGCTCACGGAGTTCGTTCTCTATCGTAGCTGGGATTTGGACCGCCCGTCATCAGGCCCCGGTGGTGGCGGCATGTTCCGTTTCGACTTATCGAAAGCTCACACCGTCAGCTTCTACTTCCCACAGAGCAGCCTCACGCTCTCCCTCACACTCTCTTCTTCGCTCAAGGCTTTCTCAGCCATGGGAAAACAACTCGTGCTCTCCTGCAAAGGCACGGAACCTCTCGCTCTCCAATACCTCTCGCTGTACGGCCAGCAGCGGCTTGTCATCTCCTCCCTCCGCCTTGCTTCCGTGCGAGTTGCCTATCTCAACGGCCCTCCCAAAGACCACCACTCCCGCAATGAAGATTTTTCTTCCTACCTGGACTCCCCTGCGTTGTCACATGAACATTCACATGAAAATTCTCCTGACAGGGAGAGTGTGCACCGCCGCAGCTCTGCTGCATTCTCCTGGGCTGAATGGCTGGCCCCTATAGCGCCAACAGTGGAGGTGCTTATAGTGAGGCATGGGATGCCTGTACAGGAGGTTGACGCTGAGTGGAGCTTCCTGCGCAGCCTTGGGATAGTCGTGGAGAGAGAGGAGCGGTTTGAGGTGGATTTGAAGGTTGAGAAGCGTCGGGATGATGGAGAGAAGGAGGTTACAGTGGAGGAAATTGAAGAGCGCGATGGGAGGCTCTTGCAGCAGCAGCGGCAGGAGGAGCGGCAGCAGCAGCGGCAGCGTTTGCAGCAGCAGATTTCGCAGCAGCAGGATTTACAGCGGCAGCTTTTGCACCAGCAGCAGCGGCTCCAGCAGCGGCAGCAGCAGCTGCAGCAGCAGCAGCAGCAGCAGCAGCGGCAGCGGCAGCAGCAGCAGCAGCAGCAACAGCAGCTGCAGCAGCGGCAGCAGCAGCAGCTGGTGCTGCAGCAGCAGCGGCGGAGGCAGCGGCCGCCGCAGCGACAGCCGTATCAGCCGCAGCAGTTGTCGCCGCAGCAGGAGCTGCAGCAGCTTTTACAGGAGCAGCAACGTTTGCAGCAGCATCTTTTGCAGCAGCATCTTTTGCAGCAGCAGCGTTTACAGCAGCAGCTCTTGCAGCAGCAGCAGCAGCAGCAGCAGGAGCAGGAGGAGGGGGAGGAGGAGCAGGAGGGGCAGCAGCAAGAAGAAAGACCTCCGTTTATCCTGGCTCCAAACCTGCGAGCTATCTTCTTCCCCACCCACACATGCGACCAGCAAACCCTTGCTTCCCTCCGCGAATTCTGTCCCTTGCTCGCGCTATTCTGCATCTCACGTCGCTCTTTCTATTGGGAGAAGCAGGGTAGGCTGTTGCCTGAGACCCCTGTGGTGCATGTGAGGAAGGCGAGAAGCGGGGTGCCATGCGGTTGCTTTGCGGAGAAGCGGCCGAAGAACGTTCGGGAGAAGATGCACAGTGTGAATAGGGAGCTGGTTGATGGGTACAGTGTTGATAAAGAAGAGGCTTATATTTGGAAGTACAAAGGGAGGCTGTGGTGCAGATATGGAAGTGACTCTTGAGTCGACTAAAATATCACTTAAGTACAGTGTTGATGCTGTGCTGATGAGGCTTGCCATCTCTGGCATTCGTTGTTGCAGACATGTCAACAGAGGTATTTAATATTCTGGAAGGGAGTGGTGTAGAAGAATAATGCATAATAGCTAAATACGGGGTGGCGGCGGCAGCGGTGGCAGCAGTAGTGGCAGTGGGAGCAGCGGTGGCAGCAGCAGTGGCAGTGGGAGCAGCGGTGGCAGCAGTAGTGGCAGTGGGAGCAGCGGTGGCAGCAGTAGTGGCAGTGGTGACACCGTTTGATTTGAGGCGCTGATGGCTCTGGAAGTGGGACGGGATTGGACTGGGAAGTATCGGATGATGCTGGATGGTCCTGGGGTGGGCGGGGGAGGAAGATGAAGAGGAGGATCAGTGGGGAAGAGAGAGGCAGCGACAGGGGAAGATAATGGGAAAGAAGGTGGGGAAGGTGGGGAGGACTTGTCTCCTCCTCGGTTCTCCTTTGTGAAAGGATCACTGGTATTCCACGCCCCTCACAAAGTATCACTGTCAGCAGCAGCAACATCAGAGCAATTAGCTTTGGCCGTCCAGCTGGACATGGCTACCTGGCTCGGGCTTTCGCCCAATCGGGGTATGCCACCTCAGCGGCAGTGGAGGCGCGGTCAGGGTCGGAGTTCCTGGCGCTGCGTCGTGACTATAAGGGGCTGGAGGTGCCCTGGTTCATGGCGCCTGGGGGAACGCCTGGGGGAACACCTGGGGGGACTCCTGGTGGGACACCTGGGGGGATGCCTGGGGGGACGCTTGGGGAAGGGGGAGGGGATGCAAGAGGGAGAGGGAATGAGGGAGGGAGAGGTGGGGATGAAGCAGTGGGTGCTTTCATGCCGAGAGTGGCTCCGGCGATTGATGCGGTGAGAGTGGTGGAGGGGCGGGAGGGCCGTGCTGCAGGGTATGTGGATGAACCACAACAGAGATAGGGAAGGCCGATATAGGGGCGAGTACAGTATTGGTTGGTGTGATTATAAGGAGCTGAATGTACCCCGGTCCGTCGCTACTGGTGGGACCCCTCTGCTCGCTCTGGGAAGGTTGAGCAGGGGTGGATAGTAGAAGCAGGGGTGGTAGAGTAATGACGGGTTTTATCTGATGTGATAACGTGAGAACTTTGATTCATTGCTGTGGTTGGGAGAAACTTCATGCACCTAGATGTGTGTAAGTTGAACTGCAGTTGATCCAAGTGTGAGTGACATGTACAAGCTCGTTTTAACGCACACTTTTGTATCGAAGTCTTTCACCCTTTCCCTCGATCCCCTCGCCATCCTGGTTCTCACCCTTCCGCTCCTAACCCTAGTTCCTCATCGATTCGGACAAATCGTTCCAAACCTCTCGCAATCGCTCTCCAACCCACTTCACCCTTCCTTCTCAGCTATTGTGCACGCTAGGTGACTGTCCACACTAACTTTAGATTATGGTGCCAGTCTAGTAGCAATTTTTGCGTAGTAGCAGCGAACAAACATGACCCCCTCCCCGAGCATGTCGCATTTTTCAGTGTTGGACGAAGGGTGAGAGCCGCCGTTTGAACAGCCAGCGATTGATTACCACGCACCTATGGTCGTGACGACAAGTGCGGTCGAGTCTACATGACGAGTGCAGATGCATGATTTCTGGTTTAGTGCATAGCATCTTCTTACCATCGCCGAAGTGGGAGCTAAAGAAAGAAAGTTGAAAAGATCTCCATGGCAGCGCTGCAGCCTGCTGGCGAATTGAAAGAGCGCGCCGAGCGACGGGAGGAGAAGAGACAGAAGAGCAATGCTGACCCAGAAGGCAAGGGATGCTCTTGCTTCGCAACGCAGCGTCCCATTTTTTACCTCATTTTATCACTCCGAACGAGAAGCGATGCTCTTGTTTTGCTTCAAAAGTAATCTCAAAAGCAGCTCCATTCCAAAGCCTTTCGAGAGTGCTCCCTCCGTCCAGACCCGTTCTCAAGGCTTGAAAACACAGCCGCGAAGACGATGAGCGACAAATAAACTCAGAAGAAGTTCAAAACAGCTCCAAATCATTCCGCTTTTTCTTTCCCCCATCAATCCCGTTGCCACCCATCTCACTCAACTCATCCATATCACCCCATCGCACACATCTCTTCTTCCAGCCGCCAACCCCAGTGATCCCATAGACATGCTGCCGGTATACCTTTGGCACAAAATCTTCCGCCAGGCTCGTCCCACCCCATCTATACCCTTCCCTTCCCTCCCAACAGTCGCCACCCCCAGTGATCCAATTGACATGCTGCCGGCGTACCTCTGGCACAAAGTATTCCGCTACCTGCTGCTGCCGCCCGGCTCCTCCCGCCCTGAGACTCCCCTCGTCCGGGGCAGGCGCAAGGCGCCCTGGTATCTCACCGCCACCACTCAGCCCACAGCGGGCAGAAACCTGCCCGTGAAATTCGCGGACCCTGATTTCACGCCAGCCGGGCAGCACTGGAAGAACGCGAGGAGCTATGGCAGTGGGTGGGCGCTGCTGTGCTGCGCCATGGCCAGCAAGAGGCTCCTCACTCACGTCCTCTCCTTCTCCGTGAGTATTGCTCTGGTGTGAGTACTGCTCTGGTGTGAGTACCGCTCTGGTGTGAGTACTGCTCTGGTGTGAGTAAGTACTGCTCTGCTCTGCTTTGTGATTTCTCTTCTTGACTTCGAAACGCACGCCCATCAATTTCCACCATGCTTCGGACATGATACTCTTCACACAGGTCCTGATTGGTTGTAAACCAGGTCAAAATCCAGCCAATCAGATAGCTCCATGCCCACCCCTTTTCTGATAGGTCGTTTTTTGAGTCGACTCAAAAACCAGGTCAAAATCCAGCCAATCAGACAACCATTCCCATCCCTTTTCTTCCTGTCACCATCTTTCACGCCTCACCTTCTCTCCTCCAATCCCATCCGTCCCTTGCTGAACTGCACTGCAGGCCCATCACCCCATCGCCCTGGTATACGACGAGCTGCACCCGCACTGGATCAGATGCACCTTGTACTCGTGCTAGTTGTCTCTTCAGGCCACTCAAAAGCCAATGATGAATCCCATCCGTCTCTTTCTGCAGGCCCATCACTCCATCCTTCAGCCAACCAGCATTCACATTTCTTTCCACCCGTCCCTCTCTGCAGGCCCACCACCCCATCGCCCTGGTATACAACGAGCTACACCCGCAGTGGATCAAAAGCGTCGAATTCTTCCTGCGCCAGCGCCCCCGCCTCAGGTCCCTCGCCCTCACCTTCACAAACTTCAAGCAGCTGGACTACCTCTTCTCGCCGCTCAACCACCACTTCCCCTCCCTCACCTCCCTCACCCTCAAACTCCGCGGCTGCGTCGACAAATCCTACCTGTACGACGATCTACCGGACGACTGTGAGGACGATGCCGATGAGATGTTCTGGGCGCATGCCTTCGACTGCCCGGCGCTGCAGCGCCTGAAGCTCGGCCGGGGCAAGTGGAACCTGCAGGAGGAAGACTGGGCTGAGGAGTTCCAGTCGCTGCGCAGCTTGACTCTCAAGCACATGGACTGGAGCTTCGTGGATTTCGAGTATCTCGGCACCGTCACGTCGCGGCTCACGGAATTCACGCTCTATCACAGCTGGAGTTTGGACCGCCCGTCCTCCGGGCCTGGCGGTGGTGGCGAGTTCCAGTTCGACTTGTCCAAGGCTCAAACCGTCCGATTGTACTTCCCGCAGAGAACCCTCACGCTCTTCCTCACCTTCTCTCGCTCGCTCAAAGCCTTTACGGCGATGGCGAAACAGCTGGTACTCTCCTGTAAGAGCAGCACCCCTCTCGCTCTCCAACACCTCTCTCTGTACGGCCAGCAGAGGCTTGTCATCTCCTCCCTCCGCCTCGCTTCCACACGAGTGGCCTATCTCAACGGCCCTCCCAAAGACCTGCACGCCTGCAATGGCCACAATTCGTCCTACCCGGACTCTCCTGAACCGTCCCCTGAATTTTCACCTGAATTCTCCTGCGTCGAGTGGCTGGGTGGTATAGCACCAACAGTGGAGGTGCTTATAGTGAGGCACGGGGTGAATGTAGAGGGGGTTAATGCGGAGTGGAGCAGCCTGCGCAGCCTTGGGATTGTCGTGGAGAGAGAGGAGCGGTTTGAGGTGGATTTGAAGGTTGAGAAGCGACGGGATGATGGTGAGAGAGAGGTTACAGTGGAGGAGTTTCAGGAGCGCAATCAGAGGCTCTTGCAGCAGCAGCGGCAGCAGGAGCGGGAGCGGCAGCAGCAGTGGCAGCAGCGGCAGCAACAATGGCAGCAGCAGCAGCAGCAGCAGCAGCAGCAGCTTTTGCAGCAGCAGGGGCAGCAGCATCAGATTTTACAGCAGCAGCAGCAGCAGCAGCAGGAGGAGGAGGAGGAGGAGGAGGAGGAGCAGGAGGAGCAACAGCAAGAAGGCAGACCTCCCTTTATCGTGGCTCCAAACTTGCGAGCAATCTTCTTCCCCACCAGCACATGCGAGCAGCGAACCCTCACTTCCCTGCGCGAATTCTGTCCCTCTCTCGCCCTGTACTGCATCTCACGTCGCTCGTTCTACTGGGAGAAGCAGGGGAAAGAGTTGCCAGAGACTCCGATGGTGCACGTGAGGAAGGCGAGAAGCGGGGTGCCGCACGCTTGCTTTGCGGAGAAGCGGCCGAAGAACGTGCGGGAGAAGATGCACAGTGTGAATAGAGAGCTGGTTGATGGGTACAGTGTTGATAAAGAAGATGCTTATATGTGGAAGTACAAAGGGAGCCTGTGGAGCAGAGACCATTGAGGAGTGGACCTTTGAGTCAGCTAAAAAATCACCCGAGTAGTGTTCATGCAGATGAGGCTACTGAAGTTGAAGTACCAAGGGAACCTCTAGAAGACTGAGGAGGACTGCTCTCACAATATTTTTGTCTGACCAAGAAGGCATGGTAAGCCAGATACGAAGCTGAAACAGCATGTCTGTTATGAGTGAACTGAAATCACATGTTGTAGCATACAGCTGTACAGTTATTGACAGAGCAGACAACTGCACTGACACAGTACCACTCCTATAGATGAAAGCTGAAACATTGTTCATTGGACAAAAAAAGCCGTAAGGCCTGAATGCCCTTAGAGCCAATCTTTCGAACACTTTCTCTTCGTGTATGAGCAACCAAGGCTATATCGAACAACAAGCACTAAGGTGTGTATGAACATTACGAGGCGCCTGTGGTTGGTTGCTTCTTGAAAGGGTTCGCCTCTTGGTCCATGACTGAAAGAGCGTATTGCACCTGCCACAAAGGATTGGGGGATGAATGCTTTCAGAGTTTTGATAGGGTTGTCTCGGTCTGTTCGAGGCACAATTTTAAAAAGGTTTGTTTCTTGAAAGGGTTTGCCTCTTGGTCCATGACTGAAACGTGCGTATTGCACCTGCCACAGGGGTTTGGGAAGTGAACGCTTTCAGAGATTGGATAGGGTTTGACTCGGTCTGTTCGAGGCAAAGACGTGAGGCGGTTACTTTCTTGAAAGGGTTTGCCTCTTGGTCCATGACTGAAAGAGCGTATTGCACCTGCCACAAGGGATTGGGTTGGAGGGATGGACGTTGTAAGAGCTGAATCTCCTACGAATATGAACAGCAAAGGCAATGAGTGAATGGCCTAGGGGATGAATGGGAGAGGCAATGGTCCACAGGATGAGCGTGACTGAGATGTCTGACCCGTATGACCCAAGTTAAAGCCCCGCAATAGATGAGCGTAAGGCCGCGTTGGGGATATGGTGGGCACTGTAGGTGGCAGTGAGGTAGGGCACTCCACTCCTTGCTTGCATTGGCGTTTCTTCTAACAAAGTCTCACAAGAAAAGCATGTTCACCTGTGCATCTCCCGTTCGAGGAACTCAGAAATGGCGGATCCGAACGCCAGGTCAGGGATGTGGTGGGCGCTGTAGGTGGCGGTAAGCAAATAGCCCTGCAATGGCAAGCTGCTATTTGAGGCACCTCAAAAATGGGTGCTGTAGGTGGCAGTAAGCTGTTAGTCCAGCGACGGTAAGTTGCTTCAAAGAATTCTCTCACAGGCAAACCAAGCGCACCTGTACAGTCTCGCGCTCGAGAAACCCCGCAATCGCGGAGCGGAATGCAGGGTCGGGGATGTGGTGGGCGCTGTAGGTGGCGGCAGGCAGATAACCCTCATTGGCAGATAACCCTCATTGGCAGATAACCCTCATTGGCAGATAACCCTCATTGGCAGATAACCCTCATTGGCAGATAACCCTCATTGGCAGATAACCCTCATTGGCAGATAACCCTCATTGGCAGATAACCCTCATTGGCAGATAACCCTCATTGGCAGATAACCCTCATTGGCAGCATAGAAGCTGCTTCAGAGGGTTGGGACACAAGCAACTCAAGCCAACCCACCTGTACCGTTTCCCGTTCCAGGAACCCTGCGATGGCTGAGCGGAATGCAGGGTCTGGGATGTGGTGGGCGCTGTAGGTGGCGGTGGGGAGATAGCCCCGCGGCAGCTTGTGCTCGCCCTGCGCCCCCGCCTCCACCCGTGCTAACCCCGCTTCTATGGCCGCCTCTATTGCCTGGTGGAGAGAGGGCAGGGAGGTGGAATTGTAAGAAAGGGTAGTGAGTCCCTGGATGTGGTGGGCGCTGTAGTTGGCGGTGGGCAGATAGCCCCGCGGCAGCTTGTGCTCGCCCTGCGCCCCCGCCTCCACCCTCGGCAGCCCTGCTTCTATTGCTGCTTTTATAGCCTGAGAAGGGGGGGAAAGGGGGACAGGCGCAATGGGCAGATAACCCCAAGGTAGCTTGTGCTCTCCCTGCGCTCCTGCTTCCACTCTTGCCAGACCTGCTTCTATTGCTGCCTCTATAGCCTGAGAAGGAAGGGAAAGGGGTACAGGCGCAATGGGCAGATAGCCCCGAGGCAGCTTGTGCTCGCCCTGCGCCCCCGCCTTCACCCGTGCCAACCCTGCTTCTATGGCCGCCTCTATTGCCTGGTGGAGAGTGGCCAGGGAGGTGAAATGGGGGAATGGGAGTGGGGGAGAGTGGGTAAGGAAATAGCAGCTTGTGGGTCCCTCCCCTGTGCCCCGGCCTCGCCCCTCCCCAGGTTCAGCGCACACCCCACTATGCGCTTTCTGCGATTTTTGAGGCGCCTCAAAAATCCCCGGCCTCGTCCCTCCCCAGGTTCAGCGCACCCCCCAATATGCACTTTCTACTCCAGTTTCGACTCACACACCTGGTAGTAGCACGCCTCAAAGCGAAGGAAAGGGTAATTTGTCCCAGGCAGCGCACCCCAGTTGTGCCCAAGCACCGCCTCGCCCCCCACCAGGTTCAGCGCACCCCCCACCATGCGCATGCGGCCTGCCCTGGTCTGGGTACCTCACCACATGTTAGAAAACCTCTATTCTATTCATCCTGCATATGCTAGTTCGCTTGTCTAGAGTTAAGCACCCAAACTTAGTTTGGGTATACAAACAGGAGTAACCCACTTTGTAGGTTGGAACCCAACTAGACATGTGCAATGTACCGAGTCGAGTAAAACTCGACTCGGCCTGGGCCAAAACTCGACCGAGTTCGAGTTCGAGTCGGGTGAAACCCGGTCGAGTTTTTTTGCCAAGGTTCTGGACTCGAAACTCGGCTGTTTAAGGGCGAGTTTTAAAAAACTCGACCGGGGCATTTCATACACTCGGTCGAGGCCTAGTAAAACTCGACTCGGGGGGAGGGGGGGGAGGGGATACATCATATAAAAGCTGGAAGTGAGGCTTCCAGCTGTGCATGGTTTTTTGTTTAGGGTTCCTACATTATTGCACGCCATCTACTACCCCTGGTAGCAGTCTCCACCTGGTCCTCCTCCTCCACCCCTCCCGCATGATCGCCACGGTGGGTTCCTCCCACCCCCCCTTTTCCACCCTTGGGGTTCTTACTTGTAAGCTGCTTGAACTTCGCCATGCTAAATCTGTAGGTCGCCCGTTTAATTAATAAATAGTAGCAATTCCTCCTCCTCAAACCCTAATCGAAACCAGCCATGCAATAAAATCACGTCACTAACTAAGCGTTAACCTAGAACTACGTTGCCCCTATGACGATCGTAAGTTTAAGAAAAAAAAACAGCCGTGCTTTTGGCTGGTTAGGCACTGGGAACTACTGACGACTTGTTGGGGAAGGGGCCTAACTGAAATCGCGATCTGAAAATGGACCCGCCAGATTTCAAATTTCGAAATTTGTATGCCACCCCAATGTCGCGACGAGTTTTTTCGTAAACTCGTCGAGTCCAAAAAACTCGTCGAGTCTAGAAAAAACTCGCCTTGGGGGCCGAGCCTAGACCGAGTTTTTTTAAAACTCGGCGGGTAAAACTCGACTCGGCCCGGTCGAGCTTTTTCAAAGGGTAATCACACTCGACACTCGACCAGTACCGAGTCCCCCGATCGAGTCGAGATTGGAAACTCGACTCTTTGCCCATGTCTAAACCCAACCTTGGTCCAATTATTGGACCCCAAAGGTTGGGTTGGGTAGAATTATTGGTCCCCTCCAATAATGTTGGCCCAACTCCAACTTGGCCAACATTATTGGACCCCACCAATAATCTCCCAACCCAACTTCTTGGTTGGGGTCCAATAATGCTCACCTAGGCTAGTATCCAACCCACTTCCTATGTATACCCCCATCCTCCTCAATCAATCATCAACTTCTTTCAGTTCTCAAGTCATCCTTCACAGGATTCTAACATGATATCAGAGCATTTTGGCTCACGCCCCTCAAGATCCTAGGACCATGTGTCCTGCGTGTACTTCCACGCGATTTCGCGGCGGCCGAATCACGACCATCGAGGCCGTCGCGACCAGCAGCCGCGCGGACCCAATTTAAGGCGATTTCGGCGCCCTCCGTCCGCTCCCGTCAATTTCGCCCTCGCGCCTAACAGCGCCCCTCTCCCTTCGCCTCCGCCCTTGCACCTAATGGCGCCCCGCTCCCGTCGCTTCCACCCTCGCGCCTAACGGCGCCCCGCTCCCGTCGCCTCCGCCCTCGCGCCTAACGGCGCCCCGCTCCCGTCGCCTCCGCCCTCGCGCCTAACGGCGCCCCGCTCCCGTCGCCTCCGCCCTCGCGCCTAACGGCGCCCCGCTCCCGTCGCCTCCGCCCTCGCGCCTAACGGCGCCCCGCTCCCGTCGCCTCCGCCCTCGCGCCTAACGGCGCCCCGCTCCCGTCGCCTCCGCCCTCGCGCCTAACGGCGCCCCGCTCCCGTCGCCTCCGCCCTCGCGCCTAACGGCGCCCCGCTCCCGTCGCCTCCGCCCTCGCGCCTAACGGCGCCCCGCTCCCGTCGCCTCCGCCCTCGCGCCTAACGGCGCCCCGCTCCCGTCGCCTCCACCCTCGCGCTCTTCGCCGCCGCGGCCGTAACATCGCCGCCGCCTGCGCCTCCCCCAAGCCGCGGCCATTCCGCCGCCGCCGCCTCCTCCCCTCGGCGCCGCGGCCATTCCGCCGCCGCCGCCTCCTACCCTCGCCGCCGCGGCCATGTCGCCGCCATCCTGCCCTCCCTTCCCCCTCGTTTCCTACCCCTTAAGGGCCATCCCGCCCTCCTTCCCCCTCGCTTCCTCCTCCTCAGGGCCATCTCGCCTTCCTCCCCCCTCGCTTCCTCCTCCTTAAGGGCCATCCCGCCCTCCTCCCCCCCCCGTTTCCTCCTCCTTAAGGGCCATCCCGCCCTCCTTCCCCCTCACTTCCTCCTCCTAAGGGCCATCCCGCCCTCCTTCCCCCTCGCTTCCGCCTCCTAAGGGCCATCCCGCCCTCCTCCCCCCTCGCTTCCACCTCCTAAGGGCCATC